ATTACAACACTATCTACAGCGTTTATTGGTTTATTACAACACTATCTACAGCGTTTATTGGTTCATTTCAACGCTATATACAGCGTTTACTGGGTTATTACAACACCATCTACAGCATTTACTGATTTATTACAACACCGTATACAGCGTTTATTGGTTCATTTCAACACTATATACAGCGTTTATTGGTTTATTACAACATAATGCCCATTGAATAGAGTACCCTAATGGAATGAATTATATCCAGTATTTTATATTTACAATAGAAATTCCCATATTTTCAAAAATACAACCAATAAACCATCCAATTATTAATAAGTGAAATTAGAGAATGAAAAAGTAAAAATATAAAGGTAGCTTTACAGTAGGAAAGCCTCCTAGTGACTCACGTGGTGGGCACAGCACAGATAACTAATATATTATGTAGCTTTGTGCTTAACAAAACAAGAAATTGTTACCCAGGTCATTAAAACAACTTTCGTCGGTAAGATATTTAATGTATTTGAGAAATACAAATGTATTGGTAAAAAGAAATCATCAGTTGAAAGGCAACAGCTAAAGTGTGCTACCATTTTCCTTGTGGTTTATACTGGATACAAGACAAGAAATAAGTTTACCAATAAATCATATAGGGACAGATTGAAAACAAGTCATCCTTCCGTGCGAGCGTGGGTTTTTATATGTTTATATAGTACCAATCATGGCTTATTGTTTTAACTCCTGGTTTTTCAAGACTTACCTAACTGAAAACTGATTGGCCTCTCCGCAGAGTGAATTCAATTTATGTATGAAAAGTCAATATGAATCCAAACGACACAATATATGCACTCTAAAGTAATGCCCCCAAATATATATATATATAACATTTATTCACGAAGCTATTTTTTAAGTGTGATTTATTATTTAAGGATATTTGATTTTATTAAGATCTTAATACATTTCCGGTATTGTGTGATATGTGGAATACTATATGTCCCTTACACCGTGATTAATACGAAATTTCTCTACATAATGTGTAGAAAGTCGGTCAAGGAAGCCAATAAGTTCCTTTCGCCCTAGTTAACTACTGAACTGGGTCACTCAACTAGGGTGTTACGTGAACTTTCTTGTGGGAAAGGTTCGTGAAAAGTGGAGCATATTGTATAGCGATATATAGTGGTTTTTCCACTGGCAGATAAGGTGATACCTTAAGGATATAACTTCATTTAGTTTAGTAATGCGGTTTTCCCACAGAGCATGAAAATGTGTATTGCACAAAATTAAACACAATTATAACGCCAAAACACAAACCAAGGAGAACTGTTAGCAGTTTGTTTTAAACTGGTAAGATAAGAGCGGGATGAAAGCTATTATCAAGTAGGCGTGTCCATCTCTACTTTAAGTTAAATTAACGCCTTCCAAACCTAAAGGAAGTAAATAAAAGTGAAACCCTAAAAATGTTAACTAGAACTGAAGTTAAACATTAACACTGCTTCTACACAAAGCTGAATCCAAATAATATCCTTAGTGACATTAATATAAATAAAAAGAACTTGCTATAGTAAGAATAACGAAAGGTTAATAAAACACCACTAAACGATAATAGTATCTTTAACCTACCTAACTTCAACACTGTCTCCAAATCAAAAGAGGAATAGCCCTTCTTTATGAAAAGCATCTGAAGTTACATTTCCCAGTAGTAACTAAAACTCTCAGAATGAATACATAATCCACCTCCAATTCTCCGGTAATTTCCCTACTTGTCTTGTCCTTAAATGAACCACCCTTGACACGGACCTGATGCAAATAGTTATTAATAAAAACCCGAGAACAATCATTTTAGGTGATTTAAACTTACGAAATAACATCTAACAATCCTAATGGTAACATTTTACACTCATTCGTAATAAATAACAATAATCAATGATAATACACCCATTTATACGAGGCCTGGCAATGTTTTCTCTCCGAATTAATAATTAGCGTATCAAACTTTCAAGTGCACGAAAACATCAGTGGAGATCACAACCAATCTCAATACTTTGGAAGACGAAATTTTAAAGTTCATTAGTTGACTGCCATTAACTGGGGAGAATTCAGAAATATTAAAACAATTATAGACGCATACATGAAAGCCATTGAAAAAATAGTACATGAGAATTAATGCAGGAAATACACCAACACATCTGTGAAAGACGTCGATTATTTATCAACACCTGTGACAGGAAAGTAAAAACAAGAAACGAACGTTATTCAAAAACCTGGACGAATTTTTTCTCCTACATTGATAACACAAGAAATTATTCACTTATTCTAAATTAGCAACCAACATTTGCTTTGAACTAAGTAATAAAAATTAAACGTTGCTCCCTTGGTGTGTCACTCATAAGTTTGAGGGATTATAATGTTAAGTGTAAGGATTCGATCAGGGTTGTGGCCCAGTACATATTTGTCACTAGAGAGCTTTTGTTTTGATGTATAGAAAATAAACAAACAAAACACTGCTAAACTTTATTAAGATAACATTTTATTTTTTAAATCTATAACTGATGTAAACATTGCAGCCTGATATTGTCTGATCGTGCATATAGTTTGATAAAGACGTGGTTCTGTTTTAAAAAATAAAACA